ACAGATTATATAATTGCCACTGGCTCTTATTCAGTCCGTATAACTCCCACCAAATAACTAGATGGGAACAAGCAAATAAGGTGTGCAAGGCTCTCACTGTAGAGGATTGGTCAGGTTTTCCATTCCCTGGGTCTAAGAGTAAGCCACTTCAGAAGCATGAAGAGAGAATCCCACCACCCTCAAGGAAGAAGAGCCAGCAGTGGAGCACAAGTGTGAGGTCCCTATGTGAAGTGGTGAAAAGTGTGGCAGCAGTGGAGACACCAGATGCTGCAGCACCCAGACCATGCGATGGGGCAGTGAGCTGCTTGGCCCACTGAATGAATACAGGTGAGTGCCTTCAGGCTGGAGGCTGACTTAGAGTGGGGTGTCCAATGGGCATATATCAGCATTAAAGGAACTTTGTAACACTGGCCCTAGTAGGGCAACAACCATATGGTTGAGAAGCTAAGGACCAGAGATATGGCTACCAGCATGGCTGAGAACCATGGTCAGAAATACTGTATTCTTAATGTTATTTTATCTTGACTTGCTACCTGTTAACTTCTCAAACCAACCTCCATAATTGTCTGAGGTCTGTGAAGCCACTGCAATGGACTTTTGAACCTCGCAGAGAAGTGGAGTGCTTCGGGAGGAAAAGATGGTGTCAGAATAGGGTAACAGAAGGTTGTAGGGTGGAGACATGTCTGACTCCTGACTCAGAATCAAGCCTTGGGCTGGTGTGGAGTTGGGTAGCCAGAGGTTAGAGGTGGCCCCCATTCCATTTCTTCAATTGTCATTAGCAGGAGTAATGTGGAGCCCCTTGAATTAATCTCTTCCCCTAACACTCATAGCTTCCTCTTTGGGATATCTGGACTAAAATCATTATGCCTTTTATCTCTAAGATATCCATCATCCCTTGTGCTTTCATTCTCAGGTGGCTCTTTGGGTAGTGCTGCTCAATTTTTTTCTCTGTGGTTTACCAATTGTCCTGTCCTTACTCCTCACTCTTAGACCGTCTATCTTTTTGTTGGAGAACTTTCTGTCTCCTGTGTTCACTGATGTATTCTCAGTGCCTAGTACCTACTAGGTGCTCAATAAGTATTTAATACGTGAACAAGTAGAGATGGTCTAAAATTTTCAACATAATCTCAAAGAGTTCCATGATCTCCCTCCCAAAGTTAAAAATAAACAGGAAGACAAAATAGTTTCTGATGAGTTTCTATACAACGCAAACATTTCGTGAAACATTCTGAATGTATGGAAAAGTTGGGTGAAAGTGACTCATAATGACAATATTGTTCTGAAATAATTTCTAAAATTTGAAGGGTATTTTGAATATAGCAAAATAAAGTGTTGATAAAACCTGTCAATACATAGTACAAAAAACCCTGAGCTATATTCAGGACTTTAATATGGCCCTTCTTGCCATAAGCCCTTATGTGATGTACTGTAGATTCTAACCTCCATGCCTATGGTTATAATCCCAATTTGGAGGGAGTCCTCTGCTATGCTAATAGACAGGATTAAGATGGGGTGCATTCTGAGTCTCCACTTTATGAGAGGGTTTAACTCAATTGAGTCAACTCCCATTGTTTCCTGTGGGGTAGGGTTTGGTGAAAGCCAAAACCCACAACCCCATGAAAGCCATTCTTTTTGTGATACCTCTTTCTTGACTGACCATTCATAGGAGGAAGGAGACCTGCTTTGATTTTCAGGGCATTTATGGCTGCTGGCTCCTGACATGGCGTTTGGCTGACCTCCAGTTCTTGGGTCTTGAGTGGCAATTTTTATCTTTTCTTTTTTTTCACAGCTTATTATTTGACCTAATTTTTCCAGCTTCTTAAGAGCACCCACAACCATCTGAGCAATTTTCTCAGGGTTTCATGAGTTCTTTGAGATGCTGAAGCAAATTGGGGAGCCCAAGCAGGTGAGGGACTATACTAAGAGGAGGAGTGGTGGTACCTCAGGAAAAGAGTGGTATAACATCTTGAATCTACATCTACTTGAAGCTAGTAGTGATTTTCCTAAAAAATTATTTTTACAAACTCTAAGACCAATAATAAAATATAAGGTAAATAAGAATTTAATATTTATTATGTTTATTTATACAGTAACAAAACTATGCTTACAAGCTACACAGCTATTTTCTAAAAACACTATAAAGGTCAAACAGTTATGATATTACAACCATGTAACTCAAAATTTAAAATATAGTTACCTATCTTTACACAAATTTGCATTGATGATTTTTCATGAAGAAAACCATTTAAAATATCTCAAAAACAGTCTTTCTCAATAATGCACCATACTTTCTGAAGGCTCAGTTTTATTGCACATAACATATATTTGATTTGGGTTTATTTAAGTATCATGCAGAAAATAAATTACGAATATAAATTTAAGAAAAAGTAGGCAGGATATTGTTTTGCAGTACAAAATCAGATGGCTGACACAGTTCACAGGTTAATCTTCAGGAAATTTTATTCCGTATTATATAAGTTAACTGATTAAAATAATCACAACGTGAGATTAAATATAGTTTGGTAAAGTAACTGTTGGCACATTTAATATCAGAGAACAGCTACTAACTACTCTTTCAGCTGAAACCAACTACCACTCTTCTTGGCCACCTAACAGGATGGTCTTCACTGCTATTTTTAAAGCATCAAATGGAAAAACCTTAAGTATGGACATATATTTAGTTGTGTCAAAAATATTCACATAATTGGCACAAATAAAACCTTATCAGTTTAAATATGAGAACATGAGGGGGCGTTGGATTGGACATGCCCTGTAAACTGGTTTCTAAGTAAAGCTTGTGAACCATGTCTGTTTTACTTCTTCTGTTCATTCAACTACACTGGCTGGTCGTTGTATTGAGGATCTGTAAACATTCTCGTTACTTGTTTCCTGAGGTCTTGTCAGAAAACTGATTACAGTAGTCTAATTTAATATCTCTGAAAATGTGCTTTGGAAATATTAAAAAAAGACAAGTCAGAAATGTATAATTCGGCACACTTTTCCTATGACAAAAGCTATCTTTAGAAAATTCTTGGTATCAAAATGTAGTATAACCCATCTCCAGAAGACCTCATAAACTTAAGGTCACTTTTTAAAAATTAGAGTTAGCTCATGTAATATGAGAGAGGAAAATAAAAAGAGCCTATTTGAATGTCCTACATCTAACACCAATGTAGGACTCTCTACGTGGAGCCAGTCAAACAGTGTCAGCGCAGTGCCTCGGCTACAGGAGAGGCGCTCCGTAAATACAGAGTAGAAGAAGAAATGTCAAACAGAGAAGGTACTTTGATAATTGAACTATAAACCTATACTCTCACTTAATTAAAAATTATGTAGCAAAGCCAAAATCAAACTAATAAATACATCTCTCTGGTATACTTCTCAGCCTACTGAAAAGAAGTATTTCCTGGATTCCGGCTCATCTCTGACTTCCAAGTGTACAAGGGATGAGCCAAGAGGCAATAGGAAAGAACAGCCTTGTTCTGGTATCACTTCTTCCCCCTTTCATAAGAGACAAGAAGTAACCATGTGAGGAAAGGTATAGGCCTCATAATAATACCTTCTCTAGGAGAAAACTCAAGTGACTTAATACTATTTTACATTCTGGGGTAAGAAAGCCCGGTAATTTCCCTTATTACCATGATGGCTAACTTTCATTAAGGGATTTTAAAGATTATTATTTTTAATTTCACTGCATAATATGGAATTTTCAATGTTAATGATTATAAGTAAACAAAAAACACATGAACTACATTTTTAGAGCATAACTTGCTTACGCACATTAGCTGAAATGTTTCTCCATCATTTCACTGTTAAAAATCAAGAAAAACACTATTAAAATTTTAATAGCCTAGAAAATAGAATTTGTGCAAATGCATTATAAAGTTCTGCATTTTATATAATATTACCATCTTAACACTAATCACCATTCACCCATGTGTCAAAAAGGCAGCACTGGTTCTAGACAGTTCCTACTCTGAGGAAAGGGATCTGGGATCAGACATTTCCCAGCACTTGGCCCATAATCTCATTCACTTTTATTAAATGCCCAGAAGGCTAAAACCATGCAATTAGATGTTTTGATTAAGTAATATGACAAAGAAGCAGCATTATTTTTTAAAACTCAAGTCCATGTAATAGTAATACTTTTCATGCTAAAATTTGACAGTTTAATAATTTGTAATGCTAGGAGAAACCATTTGTTATAGGTCTTGTACTATAGTTTAATTATTTAAAAAGAAAAACAGAAGAGCTAACTTTAGGCCTATTAATAAAAGCCTGATCCACTTAAACTTACTAATGATGCTTACTGAAGATAAAAAGTAATTTCAAAGCCAAAAAATCATGTTTAATATTTACTGAAGTATATAGAACTATAAATGAATGATATTTCCCTGTTAAGTAGCAGAAGACTGTAACTTAATAATTTACTAATTTAGTACTTAGTATTTCATAGGTACTACATGGGCCCATATTTATTCTGCATATTACAATGATATACAAAATTATCTTTGACCTTGGCTAACCACTTAACAAATTTAACTCTATCATGGATAGGCAAATGATATATTGATAAACTATTTTAATATTTGTCTTGTTCTTAATAAGCAAAATGCTTAGGTATTAGTGCAAAAGTATCAATGAACAATAAGCTAGTGAATCTACTGATTGTAAAAACATCATATTGAAATTACAGTCCTTGTTACATGGCCCATCATACAAAATGTGACAAGGTAACTATGTCGTATTAGGTATTACTTCATTTAATTATGTACTATGGCAGTGCTTCCCAACAGTAGTACACATGTACCCCTGGATATCCCTGAGATTATTTTAAGTGGTACATGGAAGAACAATTTTTCTTTAATAGTTATACATTAATATTATTGCTCAAAAACACAGCTAAGGTGGAAAAAAAAAGAGGATTAAAAAAGTAAGTTAAAAAATAAGTAAAATGTTTTCATGTATGTAAGTATATATCTTTATATATAACCACAAAACAGTAAATATTAAGGAAGAGCAAAGGATACATACATATATAATTATACACATGAGGAAGCTTTGAAAAGTTAGTGAGAAAATTCCATTTTTCCACAAACCTGGAAGTTCCCTCATATACAAACACACTGAAGAAATCGGGAAGGTGGGTATGTGGCTTTCATTTTGGAAACACTGTTTTAAGAGATCAACTGATTTAGCCAACATCACTTATAAACCCTGTAATGTTGGACCATAGAGGGGTTTCCTCTACTACTAGTTTTATTGTAGGACACATATTTTGAAAAAAAGCAGGTTTTGTATTTGATAATATTGTTGAAAGTATTGAATACATTTAATCCCTTTTAAAGGGGCTCATTCACCAAAATGGTGAAAAAGTTTGGGAGTATTTGAGAGACATGCTATTCCTAGAGAAGAGAGACAACAGCCAAGGCACATTACACATGTTATCATTGCAGCATATCAAAAGCAACCTCAGTAAGCATTAACATTGCGCAGATAATTATAATACTCTTTCATAAAAAAGAAGGTAAGCTTGTGCATTCAGTGCTCTCGACTCGGGAACCACCTGTACACAAGTGTCACTAACGTGGACCCACTCTTCTGTTGGCTCACTTTCACATTCTTTCAAACCTGGTGAAAAAAAGGGGAAAATGCTTTAGTTCTTAGCAGAATTACAAACAGCAATACATCCATTACAAACTATATTGACCTAAATTAGATCTTACACAGGAAGTCTGTTTTTTACAAAATGAACTCTTTCAAGGTATTAATATTAAAAGGAATAGCTAATATTTATCCCTAATTAATATAATTTTATTTAAACTATATAATGAAATATTCAGAGCCTTGGTGGCATAGTGTGTTATGCACTGAGCTGCTAAGTGCAAGGTCAGCCGTTTGAACCCAACTGCCACTAGGCAGGGAGAAGAGGAGACTGTCTGCTCCCATATAGCCCACATTTAGCGGTTTTTACTCTGTCCTGTAGGGTCTCTAAGAAGTGAGTCTATGGCACTGGGGTTGCATGGAATAGGTGATGTAATACTAGATGGCACTGCATACAGTTATTGGCTCAGGGAAAAGCATAATGTTCACGAAAAGAGAAGGAAAAGAATGCTTGTTCACTGACCCATAGACAATGGGTAAAGTTTTTAACTCTCACTTTATACTGAGCACCTAGTAGATCTTCAAAAAAAATTTGCAACACTAAGTACTACTACACTATAATACATGAGGACTAAAATCCTTGAAAAATGGCGTGCTCTTTGATATTTCAGATGAGCTATGATTTTCTAGATACTTTTAGAAGTAATTCTCATGTAATTTGGGGCATCCATGAAAATAACATCTCTCTTTTAGAAAAGTAAAAGCACATTCCTTCATTCCTACAAATGCAAAAGCACTTGGAATGACGTACCAGCTACATTTTTCTTCCCGGTGACGTGCTCCATGAAGCTCTTGGAAGGCGTTCTCACTCTGACATAAGCAGTGTAGTGGCCTCCTCTCATCGAGCCGCTGTGCTCCACTACTCCATAGAGACCATAAAGAACTTGATCTCCCACACTTACGTTCTTCCAAACAGAAAAACTCCAGTTAGTATTACTTAGTGAAATATGATTGAAAGAAAGTAAAACTAAGCCATACACACATCCTGTAGACAATAAGTGAAATACGCAAAAATCTCTCACAAAATTGCAAAATGAAAACGCTTAACAGCATTTTCTGTTGGCAGTTGTGAAGAGTACATGGTGTGGGTGGCAATATGAAAAGTTCTCCCTCTTAGAATTATTATTTAGCTCAGTTACATATATCTTACATTCATCAGCTCTATTTTTAGGATGCTGGCATACAGACATAAGAACAAAATGTAAAAAGAACTGCACTAGTCTATTACTGGATTATCTGCAAGAGTCAAAGACCGGAAACACAAATATGTGGTAACCTGAGGGACTGGCTGAGAATGTAATGCAGCTAAATCATCCATGCTCATAATTATGGGTCTGGAAAGCTGATTGGTGGGGGAAGACTTTCACAGTTATGAGATATAAATAAATCTTAAAGTGGAGAGCAAATATTTTGAGAGTGATGAGGGCAAAGAATGTATAAATGTGCTGGACACAATTGATGTATGTATGTATTGTGATAAGCGTTGTATGAGCCCCCAATAAAATGCTTTTAAAAAATCTTACTACACATTCTCATGACTGAACACAATTCCTCCAATAACCCCCCATAAAAGAACTGTCATAACGAGCTACCATATTAAGAGGAATCATTTCTGCATCT